AGCTTTAACGAAGGCAGAAGGGGTATTTTGATGGATGTTAGTACACCTGTCTCCAAAGTACAATTCAAAGGGTCCTCATAACCAAGAGGAGCCCCCTTTTCCCACTATTTATGTGTGTGAGGCTAAATTTTCTTCATGCATTTCCACCAAAACAATACAACATGCAGACTGAAGGCAGAAACAGATAGGAGAATGCATGTGCTCTATCCAGATACACATTAAAGAGACTTGCAAAGTGAAAAGCAACACTACTCTTTCTCACAAATTTGTTTTGCTTTGAAAAATAGTTTTCGGCGGCACTTGGGTGGCTCAGTGAATTAAGCATCCAACTTCGGCTCAGGTCATGTTCTCACTGTTCGTGAGTTCCAGCCCCGCGTCGGGCTCTGTGCTGACAGCTCAGGGCCTGGAACCTGCTTTGGATTCTGTGTCTTCCTCTCTCTCAAAAATAAACATTAAGATGAAACCCACATAAACAAAAACTCTATATAGAGTCTTTAGTTTTTAAGCATGCAAAAGAGTCTTGAGCTCAAAGCCCAATTACGCTAATTGATTTATTTTATCGAAGACTGGTTCAGGAATGGACCTGCAGTAACAATTCTGGCCAATGATGATATTTAGTCTTGGGCTGGGGTGGGCATCCTGGAAAGATTTACATTGCTCTTAAAAAGAAGCTTTGTGAGAAGAAACTATGCTTCCTCTGGGCAGGGCTGTGTTTGGAGCTGCTACCCAAAGCTGCTGTACCTCTGTCTGACCAAGGGGCAACCCACCCAAGGACCACGCCAACGTGCTGAGAACGGCAGAACCCAGGTCTTGGGTGACATCACTGAGCCACTGATTAACCAGTTCTTGAAGTGCCCTATCTCACATCTCCTGTTCATGAGAAATGAATATTGTTTTAGTTTGAGGCACTATTAATATGATTCTGTGGTTTAGACCAGAAAGCAATTTTATTCAGCATTTTGTTTGTTTTTTACCAAATGTTAAGGAGTTAAGAACCAAATGAATAGAATAAAGCACAGAAAGTTCCTTTCTATGTTTGCATTTTGTTCATTTATGAATCCCAGGTGCCTTTATCTGCATGCTGTGAATATTGATGAAAATATCATGGCTCATCAGCTCAGACCTTCCCACTGTCAAAAATCCTTTCATGGGCTGAATATTTCCACTCTGCTCAAACAATACCCTGGGTGTGGAATTATAACTAGAGCAGCACAAATTTATCACTACTCTGGGGGACAAATTTAGGACACACATTCCAATAACAGCAAGGAAGTAGGACTACTCCCTTCATAGATGGGGGCACACGTGTTTTAAGACCCTTCAAAATGTGCAGAAGGAAACCAAAACAGTCAACAACTCTATCGCCCTCACTTTACACATAAGGAAATTGAGGCCAAAAAGGCCATGTCACATGACCAGCTCCATAGCAGCAGAAGAGGTGCCTTCAGACCAAGCATGTTAACTATTTATCTTGTCAGCACTACAGGACCTCAAGAAATGAGTTTAATAAAGGCGTCTCAGATGAGTCTCCCAGTTTCTTGAAGAATTTAGAGAAGGTAAATTGTATTGTGTAAAAAACGACTTCCCCTTCAGTATCAATCAGTTTCCACACTGTAAATTAAAGAGAGAGAGAGAAAGCAGGAAGGAGCTTAATACCATGTGTGTAATTGGAACTCAAAAGTACTTGTTCAACTAAACTGACTTGATTACAAAGCAGGATTTGTAATCAAATAAACACTTTCCCAGCTATCTAATCTCTCTTAGGAAACATTAGGCTGCAGTTGGAGACCTCTCAGATTGTGGAGCTAAATTCAATCTCCTCAGAAGAAGCCTGCTCCTGAGTTCATGCAAGCTTAAGTTTCTGTATGTTCTACGCATTCATTTACTTGGGATGAGAGTGAGGAGAGAGCAGAAAGGTGCTAGGGGTAAAGAAAGAGAAAGAAAGAAAAGTAGCTTTAAGCCCCAAAATTATAGGAAAAAATAAAATAAAGTCTAATACACACACACACACACACACACACACACACACA